ATCCTGTACGAGGAGAAGCACCATGGCCTGGGGCGGGAGAGCTTCCCACGCTCTGAAAGGCTCCTGTTCGCTTCGTGGCTCCCGCTCCTTTCCCGCAGGGTGGGGAGCTGGGGAAGGTGCGGGGCAGGGGCTGCGCTGGGGCAGGCGGAGACGGGCTGGGCGGCCCGGCTCCTCCCCTGGGCGGCCGGACTGTGGAGCCGGCTCCGCACTGAGCTGCCAAGTGACTTTACTGCTCCCCTTCTCGGTGCCCTGGGATCCTGGAGGCGCCGGGCGAGCTGGCCTGGCAGTGGCGCCTTTTCTACTCCCATCCACAATGCCCAGCCCCCGGGGCACCCACCTCCCCAGCCCCACACAGTCGCTGACGTCGTGACTCTCCCCAGCCCGTGTATGTGCTTGCCTCCATGCGCACAGAGGGGGACCCGGAGCTGGCTTTGCAGCCTCCTGCTGGGCAGGAGTGACAGGCCCCCCTCCCCACACCTGGCCGAGGAGAGCACCTGCTCTGATGCGAGAGTCTGGGAGTTTCTAGTTCATCTTAACCCCCCTCTCTGAACGAGAATTGTCTGTTTCAAGTTTCCCTCCATTTGGGAGGCACCCCCCGCCTCAGACCCGGGGGAGACAGATAGACTTTACTGGGGCTCTACATATAGGGTGACCAGATCACAAGAGTGAAATATCAGGACACATTGGGCGAGCGGGACGGGGGGAGGGGAGAGGATGACAATGACAGACACAGGTGCACAGAGCCATGAGAGGGGGCCCTAGGAAGCTGCGAGAGGGGTTGTACGGCCCCTGCTGCAACCCGCACCACAAGCCACAGGGCAAGGACACCTATTGAATTCAATGAGAATTTTGCATGTGCATTGATGTACCTAGTTCTGAGATTATAAAGCCAGAAGGGTGATCACCTGGTCTCACCACCTGTATAGCACAGACATAGAACTTTCCCAAAATAATTCCTAGAAGATAGCTTTTAGAAAAAGCTTTTAGAAAAACACCATGACCCTTAGTATATTGTTAATCATTAATTACTCTCACCATTGAAAAGGTATGCCTTATATCCAGTCTGAATTTGTCTAGCTGCAACTTTCAACCGTTGGCTCATGTTCTGCCTTTCTCTGCTAGACTGAAATGCCCATTATTAACTATTTGTTCCCCATGTAGATACTTACAGTCTATAACCAAGTAACTTCTTAACCTTCTTTTTGTTAAGCTAAATAGATTGAGGTCCTTGAGTCGATCACTATAAGGCATGTTTTATAATCCTTTAATCAGTCTTGTGACTCTTCTCTGAACACTTTCCAATTTATCAATATCCTTCTTAAATTGTGCACCCCAGAACTGGACACAGTATTCCAGCAGTGGTTGCACCAGTGCCAAATACAGAGATAAAATAACCTCTCTACTCCTGCTTGAGATTCCCCTATTTAGGCATCTGGTCACCTTATTTCTGTATGCATTTCCCCAGGTTTTTTTGTAAAAATCAAAACTGAACTGCCCCAGAAATTCTGTCATGTGGAATCATCGTGAAACTCGTATGCCTCCAACCCTGCCGATGAACCTTTAGATCCACTGCACAGACTTCTGCCACTTGAGCTAATGGAGTAAGTGATGGCAGAGGCAGTAGGTTGTCATCCTATATGTGATAGATCAGCTCTATAGGGGTATGAGACACTTTTTTTGCCACTGGGTTTCACAGATATCTGCTGACAGAAGAGGAACTGTGAAACTCAGGAATCCTGGGTCTATTCCAGGCTCCTGAACGGAGTGGTCTCTAGTAGTCAAAGACCCTTCTTCCCCGTCCCCTGCAGTCTATGTCTATCCTATTGCTGTCTAACCCGCCCCAGCTCCTCATCTGATTTCAACTGCCCCCACTACCACTCTGGATTCCTTGTCCCAGTTCCCTGGTCCTGTCTCACTCTCCTCTCTCCCTGCCCCCATCCCTCAGATGGGATGTTCGTTCCAGACTGGCAAAATTATAAG